TTCAAATAAAATTTTTAAGTATTTATGAGACATTCAGAATAAGACCACACGAAGAAAGATCCGACCAATAGTAAAAAAGTTCTGGCCGAGAACCGAAGCAAAATGCAGGTTATGGCTCTTGTTGCTAATGCGACGATAATTTCACGCAGCTACCTGAAATTCTTCAAATACGTAGGCTTGATACTTCTAAATAACCACAACGAAATTGGAGTCGTTTGTTCGAGTAGTTTTTGAGAATTTCTAATTGTTCATCCCAATACATCTGTCTTTCGGCCATCACTACTAGTTTACTGAGCAATATACAGGGTTCGTCCAAAGGGCATTAATAAAATACACGAGTTTACCTCGCCGGCATGAATCACAAACCATTCCGAAAAATACGTAATTGTTATTTTTATGCGAAAAACGAAGGGGATAAACAATTACGGATTCCCAAAAAATACTTGACCAATCGAATCCAATTTTGTTGTCGTTATTTAGAAGTATATGTTACATTGTATGTTTTTCTTTGTGCGCAAAATAATAACATTTTAGATTTTTGTGGATTAATAAGTAGATTGTGATCTAAAGAGTATTTAATTAATTTACGAACATCGTTTTGTAAAATTTGAGTAGTATTATTGACATCATGTGGGTTAAAATAATGGCACAATTGCGAAGTCGAACGTATGTATGAGGAACAGAGGCGGTCCCAATACAGGGCCTTGAGGTACGCCTGAGGGAATTATTGTCACTTGAGACATTTCTTGACTGAGAAAAACACTCTGAGTTCTTTGATGAAGGTAACTGTCGAAAAATGAAAGGGATACACTGTCAAGACCTATCTAATTCAATTTAGCAAGTAATAATTTATGATTGATGCTGTCAAAGGCTTTCGAATAGTCTATAGAGATTAACGCTCGTGCCAGTTTCTTATCTAAGGCACTTAAAATATTGTCTTGCCTTTTTCCAAACAGTCGTTAAAGATGTGGACGATGTGACTGAGAATAATTGGCAGGCAAAGCTGGATCATTGACAGAGATATACCATCAATTCCCTTCGCATCACATTTTAGGCTCCCTATTGCCTGTAGTACGTCATTTGAGCTAAATGATCAAATGAAAAAATATATTCAGAGCTTAATTTATTTTTGAAATATACTAAGTGACATATAAATCCGAACACCCAGTTTAAATGGTTTTATTTTAATAAAATTTTGTATAGGTACTTAATGAAGCATAATAAGTAAATGATAAAAATTTCAAAATGATTGCACTGCTTTAAAGCCCTTTGACCTTTAATAATGTGTGGATGCACCCTGATGTGCTACGCATTCTCCAACGCGCCTAGGCATGCTTCTGATCAGGTGGTCAATGTCCTCCTGTGGTATCTCATTCCAGGCAACCACCAACTCCTCTCGAAGTGCTTCTAGAGTCTGAGGAGGACGTTGCAAATTGAGCAATCTCCTACCCATCATATTCCACACGTGCTCAATTGGGGATAAGTCGGGAGATCTTGGTGGCCATGGTAACAATGTGACATCATTATGTTGAAAGAAGTCTATTGTGACTCTTGCAATATGTGGTCGGGCATTATCTTGTTTTAAAGTTGGATCTGCCAGGGTGTCAAGATAGGGTAAAAGATGGGGTTCTAGAACTTCGTGGATATAACGCTGCGCGTTCATGTTACCTCTGATGAAGATTAAAGGTGACCTGGAACCATAAGCTATAGCACCCCAAACCATAACTCCAACAGTGTGATGAACATGTCTTTCAACAAAAAACTGTGGATTCCTCCTTTCACCACGTCGCCTTCTAACCCTTACACCGACGTAATCGCCTTGAGTGGTGCAGACAACGGTCACTCTGGGATCAGGAATGGAACAGTATTGTCTTTAGTGACGAGTCTCGATTTTGTTTAGGCATGCACGATGGTCGTGCCAGGGTTAGAAGGCGACGTGGTGAAAGGAGGAATCCACAGGTTTTTGTTGAAAGACATGTTCATCACACTGTAGGAGTTATGGTTTGGGGTGCTATAGTTTATGGTTCCAGGTCACCTTTAATCTTCATCAGAGGTAACATGAACGCGCAGCGTTATATCCACGAAGTTCTAGAACCCCATCTTTTACCCTATCTTGACACCCTGGCAGATCCAACTTTCCAACAAGATAATGCCCGACCACATGTTGCAAGAGTCACAATAGACTTCTTTCAACATAATGATGTCACATTGTTACCATGGCCACCAAGATCTCCCGACTTATCCCCAATTGAGCACGTGTGGGATATGATGGGTAGGAGATTGCTCAATTTGCAACGTCCTCCTCAGACTCTAGAAGCACTTCGAGAGGAGTTGGTCGTTGCCTGGAATGAGATACCACAGGAGGACATTGACCACCTGATCAGAAGCATGCCTAGGCGCGTTGGAGAATGCGTAGCACATCAGGGTGCATCCACACATTATTAAAGGTCAAAGGGCTTTAAAGCAGTGCAATCATTTTGAAATTTTTATCATTTACTTATTATGCTTCATTAAGTACTTACACAAAATTTTATTAAAATAAAACCATTTAAAGTGGGTGTTCGGATTTATATGTCACTTAGTATAGTTCTCGCAAACTAGTGAATCGACAGGTTTGTAGCTATAAACAGACATGAAATAATCATTAATTTTGGTAGGGTCATTAAAACCTGCTGGAAGGGTTGGTTTACTACGAAAATTTATATCAAGTTGTTTGAGAGACTTCCACAATTTTTTTGAATCATTTTCATTTGCCAAGTTTTCGATAAATGTCTTTTTGTCCCTCCTGATCATGTTAAGAGCACGGTTTCTAAGCAATTTGAAGTTATTATAGGTGTCCACGGTCTTATTAGCTTTATATAAAGCTTGTGCAGTATTATTTTCATCAAGAACAGTGCGCAGTTCATTAGTTAACCAAGGTGATGGTGGCTTATTAACTCTTACAGTTTTAACAGGTGAATGTTTATTATAGGTTTCCACGATAACGCTTGTAATGTGCATTACCTTCTCATCAATATTAGATTTCGTAAATAATTCGTCTAGCCCGATGTAGAAAGATCGATAAGAAAATGATCGTCAATGAAATGTTTAAAATCCCTGATTGTGATAAGTTTTTGTTTTCTTTTATAAGATGGAATATCAAAATGAAAAAATACGTGTTTGTGGTCCGAAATACCATTCGTGACCATGACGGAAGAATAGCTGCATGTTTGAGGATTATTTAAAAATATTGGATCGATTAATGTTGCAGTACTATCTGTGACACGGGTGGCTACCGTTACGATTTGTGTGAACCCCATCATCTCAAAACTCAGTGAGAATATAATGCATAAAACGTAGTAGATGCTATTGCTTCACTAAAAAGTATCTACTTTGTAGCATCCTCTTTTCCATAGAAGTATGTGCTTTATCTGAGAAGAATATACTGTACTGTATGGTACAACAGAAGTACCTACTACTAACCTGAAGTATCTACTACTAAGCGCCTAAGAGGCGGCACGCGCCGCGGCTGTGTGATCGTGTAAATCACATCAATCGTGTTAGAACTCGTTTTTCATCTGCCTGTACATTCACAATACATATTTACTACGTACATTATTAGCATTTCGTCTACAAGTAAAAATGAGTGACTCGTCAGATTCCGATGCGACAAAAGAGTTAGTTCAGGATAGAAATGAAAAATTGTTATTTGTTAATATTCTTGAGTATTATCAAAATTTGTTTGATAAATGAATGATACCAAAATTCAAGAATGAAAAAGAAGATGCACTGAAGAAATTAACTGCTGCCTTCAATGAAATAACAAGAAAAAAACTGGATGCAAAACAGATTTTGAAAAAATTTAATAACATGAAAACCAAAGTTAAAAAAATTGTTGACGTGAAACAAACTGGTAACAAAAAATCGTACTGACTGAGTGGCAAAGAAAATTCTATGATTTATGGAACGTCGGAGACAATCCAGTCTTACACAGGGTACCAGGCGCGTGTCAGGCCGGTGTAGTAGATAAGGGGTTTCACTAGAAAAAAAGTATATGGGTTCCTTAGTTCCAAATCTGGTTCCGGACAATTTACAGCCGGAACACTTAAAAATCCTAATGCGAAAGAGGAGTCACTGATTCAGCTACAGAAGAATTGCTTACGAAAACAAATTGAAGCAGCCGAAGCTCAAATTTATTGTGCTCGAGTTCAACAGTCTTCGGCGGCAGCTGAAGAACGGGCCGCGATTGCATTAGTGAAGTTTGCCGAAGCTGGTGAGCAGTTAGTCAACCATATAATTGAGCGTGACATGTTACAGAGACAAAATAAGTTTGTATTTATAAATGTTATAATATATATAGTTATAATAATAAATGTTAAGAGTTATCATTTCATTTTGTTAAAAGGTTTTACCAGATAAATATGTTATTAAGTTGTATCTTTTGAATATATTAATTACTAATTGAAAATAAAACCAAATACCACATAACATAATTTACTTTTAACACTTGTTTGTTATTAGACGACCCTGTGCATAATGATATTATATTAGTTGACATCACGAAATATAGCCAGCGCAACGTCGTTTCTACATTGTGTGCCTCGATTACGAATTTGTGGTTGATTACCCTCAGGTATCAGTTCAATCGCATCTTGTACTTCCATCTGAACTGGATCAAAATCATGGTATGGATCTTGCAAATGTTTAGATATGTTATGAAGTACAAATGCACTCACAATATGTTTTGGAATGTTTTCAATTTTTAGGCGAAATGTATACTAGAGCATTGGAAAACGCCGTTTCAACTGACCAAAGCAGCATTCTATGACACAACGTTCCTTCGCATGGATTAAATTATAATTTTCTTGAATAGGTGTGGTTGGATTTTTAAAAGGTGACAACAATCATGGTGCAATACCATATCCTTCATCACCTAACAAGGCTGCTCCTTGCACATTATTATACATAATTCGATGCACCAGGGAGTTTCGCCAAATTCGACTAACGTGGACGGAGCCTGGCTAAGTCGCATCGACACTGGTAAAGATTTCTTTGGCGTTACAAGTAGCTTGTACATTTTTTATTGAACATATCCCTTTTCTATTCACATATTCATCACCATGAATTCGTGGCTTTGTTATTTTAACGTGAGTGCAATCAATAGCACCTATGACACTGGGCATTCGCTTGGTATTTGCCCACTCATTGATAGCAACTCCAAGTAAATCGTTAGTATTAGGAAATGTTATCCAGTTATTTCTCTTGGAATAAATTGCTTCAGATACAGTAATCAGGGTTCTGGATACAGTACTTTGGTTTACATCTAAATCAACAGCAACTCCTTGCTGAAATCCAGGATCTCCTGAAAAATTTATATTTATATTTTTTAAATTTTAGAATTACTTTCCTATATTAACCTAAACTTCTCATAATATCTCCATTTTCCGAGTAGGTGACAAGGCTCCACCTCTTGTTTCTACGGGATCCTCATTATCGTCAAGAAAATGGTTTGCAAGCCACTCTACATTTTCTCTATTAAACCTTAAACAAAAAATTATGAAAGTAACTTGTTTTTATATTAATAATAATTACATAACCATAAAACTGATAATTACCTAAATAATTTACGATAAATATCATCGTTGTATATCCTCGCTTATTTGTAAACTTTTCTGCGACGCACATTCATGAATGCTGCCATTTTCCAAAAAAGAAAAATACTGAATTTGCGGTAGCCGAAGTTGCTCATACACTAACTTCACTTAAACTGGAGCAAATACTACTAAGTCACCCAATACTTCTAAAGCGTAGTATATTCTTCTATGTATCTCATACATAGTAGCATATGCTATGGAGGAAAGTAAATGCTTTGTTAGTGTAGTTAAAACTTCAAAAATGTAGTAGGTACATACTTGAAGCATTAGCATCTACTACGTTTTATGCATTCCACCCATTGTTATTAAACAAATCTATATTCAGATCTCCCAATATCACGATGTTATGATGATATAACGAAAGGCTGGGTAGGAAACCATTTAATAAATCTGCATATTGTTGTATGTTTTGAGAGGGTCGTCGGTACAAAAGACGTACTAACAGTTCACACTTACCCGCAACCAATTTAACCCAAATGCTTTCGAAATAATCACCAAAATCTGTATAAATATCTACCTTTTCGGCATGTAAGATTCTCTATCACAACGCAAGAAACAATAGTTGCTAATATTAACCACATCTTCAGTAATATTTTCATTTAGCCACGTCTCTGTAACAGCGAATACATCAAAATTTTCTAATGCTATTAAATTTACAATAGCATCAAAACTAGACATGAGGGAACGTACATTCAAGTGTCCGATTGCATTTTACTACCAGCCATTAAGAGTATTTGAATCGTACATAATTTAGAAAAGATTTTGAGTATTCTAAATAATTCTAAAATGATCAAAATAAAATTCGTGAATGATGTCTTTGTTGAAAGAATTCATACACTGGGCAATTTTTGTCTGTCGGAAGATGATCGGTACTGTAATTTTTTTATACTGGTGATTTGAATACAAACAGTTGAAACATTTCGAATGTGCCTGCTTACAAAAGGAGGTGTCATGGTTATCTCCATACTGAGCACAGACTTTAGGATTTTGGTATTTTTTGCCAGAATGATTAAATCGGAAACAATTTGTGCACTGAGACACTTCATTATTTTTGTATACATATACATTTTGAAATCCTAATAGAATTTTTCCATTATAATCTTCAAAAATCTGTTTAAATAAATTACCTGTGACCTCTGCGTAAATAATATATTTTTTTCTTGTGCAATATACTTGATAAAATTTATCTTAATACCTTCTTTTTCTATGAAATGGTTCTGTCTTGTGATGTCTTCTACTACCTCTTCTTCGGTAATTCGTTCATCTGTATGGTAGCCCACGAATTTGATTTTAGGTCTAAACATTTTCGGTTCAGACACCTGGTACGATGCCGACAATTTCTTCTAAATTTCTTCCTTTAACTGGGCATGATTACTTTCGTGGACCTTAATTTCCATACCACCGTTTCTAAAATTCTTCACGTCGTCAATTTTGATTTGAGGTTTAGACAAGCTTAATTTTTTGTCTAGATCTTTACGCGTCTTGAGGCTTGTTTGTTGCTGGCTTGGTATAATCACTATGCTTTTATTTCCTTGTTTTTTGTAGCATAGGTCTTTTTTACAATTTGCGAATACGAAGTGCCTGTCATACTTGATTTTTCCATTATGTCAATTCTGGTATTCAGATTCTTGAGCGCGTCAACCACAGTTTCTTTTTCAGTAATATTTGTCGACAATACATTCAACTGATCTTGAAATCTAGCGTTCTCGTTTACAAGTTGCTCAATGAATCTATCTTTTTCTATTAATAACTGACTTTATGAATTAACTTTTTCGCATAATATTTTTATTTCCTGTTTTAGCTCCTCATTTGTTGTTCTAAGGCACTTACTGTTTTTAGGTGTTTCCGTTGGTGCATCACTTGGTTTGGTTAACACCATTTTAGCACTCTCAGACTTAGCTGAAGCAATCTCAGCAGTTTTCTTTTTTTTTTCTTATTCATGGAGTACCCAGTATGGTCGTATCACTTTATTCTAGTCTAGATGATTGATGTCAAATAGTTTGTCAAAATCCTTCGCTGTATTGACCGAAAAAATATTTGTCACTGGGCAATCTGTTATCCTCCAAGAATATCAACGGAGCTGCACCCCAACAATAGTTGCAGTAGGGAGTATCACAATATTTCAACAGTTTTCTCGAAGTATACGCGGATTCAGTGCAATAAGGCAAGTCAAAATGAAACGTCAAAAACTTCAATATGTCATTTCCACTTTTGCAATCCTTCTGTGACATGTTTGAAAGCTAGAGATTCTTTTGTGTGCCGCTACAGGTAATAGTTTAAATGAAATGCATCTTATTTTTTTTATTTAATTGATCATAATAGTAACAGTCAACTTTGGTATTACATTCTAAGCCACATAATATACAAATGTATCAATAAGAGTATATATAACATGATAAGGTCGAGTAAGTAGGTCCAATGAGTTTGATACATTTTTTACATAAATACAATATTTTACAAAACGCTATATTTACACAAATGAAAAGTTAACATGAATGTTACTCAAATTTAAGTAACAAACTCCCAATACATGTTATTGTATACATATTTCAAAATACCAATTGAAGAGTGAACAATTATTGTTCCAAAGGAATAAGTGTAAGTTGTTTTACGTCTCGAACTTTGTGCTTTATCATGACTTAAATGGATTTAGGCCACTATACTAAAACATGTTCAACACTGATGCGCACCATATGAATTCAAATATACTTACATCTTTGGACGTTGCTTTGATTAAAATAAAGTTCATACAGCTCAACACATACAAGTATAATGTTACCAAAACCGAAATTGGTATATATATATACACGACTTTTCGACTTTAATATTTAATTGTACATGTACAAATGTACGTAAGCATTAAAATATATTTGAACTCTTAGCAAAACTAGACTAGATTTTTCACAGATTATCATAGTATAAACATAAACAATATTGTAAAGTGAAACCTAATGAGTTCTACATTTTTCTGGTACATTTTCCCCTGTAACAGTTTTGATGGAATATTTTTAGTAGTAGAAGAAGTAGAAATGATATAATTTTACGTTAGAGTATGAGTGCTTGCTTAGTTTTCATCATAAAATCAGGCATTCACTTAAGTATAAATATATTTTTCTAAAAGTTCCTCAAAAGGTGTTTGCGCAGTTAATTCACCTACAAAGAAATCGAATCGCAAATACCTGAATTCACAAATATAAATGATGTCGACTCATCTACGCTACAACAATTTTCTGTACGTTTCTGGATCAAGAAATAATTTTCTAAATGATTTAGAAAAAGCATGCATTAGCTATTTTCCACAATAATTGACATAGGCCACACTATATCTGTACTAATGTATGTTATATAGTAATGTTGATTAAACAAAATTTGAAAATGATCCAATTTACATAGAAACAGAAATACAATCACAATCATAACCCAGTGCCAAGAACCGGCTGAGTACGTTAGACCAAATTTTTTGATAAGGAAGAACAACTGCTTGCACTAACACTAAAGTGGAGAACAAATTAACTACAAGAAAAAACCTAGAACCCTTTGGGACTTTGGGATCCTTCCCTGTAAAAATCCTAATGAAGCTAAAGACGCAACATTTAAAAAATGCGTGTAACTCAATTTCGATGAAAATTAAGCTAGCCAGATCTTGCATTGGATTAAATTTCATGAAGTGCCATATTTTTTGGGTTATGCTTTGCAAACATGAAAGTTGAGAAGTTGTCTTCTAGGAATATATGATAAAATCATGATAGCATTGCCTCACTCTACAACACGAAGCCTAAGCTTTACTATAAACTATATTTACATATCACAAGTTGCTTTTGCTAGCTCACTTATCATACTTAATATTAAATCTAGATATTCCCACTCATTTAGGCCTATATAAACAAATTCGTTATAACATAAAAAACAAGAAAATAAATAATAAAAATGTTCTTAATGTCTGAAAAATATCATTTAAATTATCATATACATCCCCGTATGCCGTAGTTACGGTACGTTTTTAACAGTCCTTGTCTATCGAGGAGCCAATAGAACCAATATATCTAGATTTTCAAAAAGAATTGTATAGATGCATTTTACAATGGAGATATATTCTTTAGAGCAAAGAAAAAGGCTCCCATCTGAAAATACAAAAAATGTTGATGGGTAACTTTTTTTGTTAAACATTGAAGCTAAAAAAATATTTTTTCGCATATATTCAAAAAACAAGGAATTATTGGTTAAATTAGTTAACAGAATAGTTGTAGAGACTTTCTAAGTGACACCTAAAGTTTAATATGCTCGAACAATTGTAACAATTATTGCGAAAAAAACGATTTCCAAATTTATTTGTTACGGGAAAACAAAACTGCTCAACAGTATCTGCAAATTTATAATTGTCACTCAGCTTCTTGAAATTTTTGCGACCTCTCTAGCAACAGATTCTACAGAATGTTTTAAATACAATACACAAAGAACTAATTTTGCCTCTTCGGTGTTTGACGAAAACTCAGCAAAAGCTAGTGTATCCCTAGATGGGGGACCTTTTGTTTGACTCCAAGAATATAATTTCTTTGTAAACCAGGGCCCAATTTTTGCTACCTAGAACTAGAAAGTGAGTAACCGACTGGAGAATCATAACAGATTTAGCATATATACACTTTTCAAACACCCTAAACAGTCAAATATTGTTGTCCTAATCATCTTTAACGATGACGGTACTTTCATCCATGGCTGCAGGGTTTTCACCCTTGGTGATACAATCTCTGATAGCCTTGAGGATGATTTCGACTCGTCGATCCAAGGCTACCAAATGGGGTTCCCATAGAATTGGGTTCACGGGATCTTTTTTCATGCTGCGTTTCATTGCTTCGCTCAACTTTACCGGACCATTGTGGAACCTGTAAAAAATGACAACATTAATCGACGAAAGCAATAGTCCAAACATTCACCTTTTCAATGTTTGCCCCGTGTTTTGGAAGCACCCTGAAGAGATCAATTGTTTGAAGATTCCCACCATTATCCTTTTTGTTCGTCATTGTCTGTCAGAGTGGTTCGTAGGACGTTTGCTCTTTATTTAAAGTATTTTAAGTCAGTAGGTCTGTCAGGTCTGGTTGCCCAGATACCAGACAAAGTCTGGGAGAAAGGAGAGGAGGAAGAAAAGAAGGAAGGAGGGAGAGCAAGGAAAAAAGAAGTGCGTCAACTTGAGGGGTGCCTTGGCATCACTAGTTAGTGTTCTGGAATTTTAAAGTGACCCAAAAATTAATTTAGAGATTATAATTTTGGTTAGACAAGAAGTCGCACGATTTAATGCTATTCATAGTGCGTGCCGCGGCCTTGTGTGCTTGCGAACTTGCTCGACTTTGTTGATCAAACTTAGTTTTGAGGTTCTACTATAGCATAGGCTAGAGTTGCCGAAACGTGATTTTGAATTTAGTTTTTAATGATTCAGTGTGCATCTGCCTTTGTCAAGAGTGACACCGAGATACTTAGCAGAACCTTCCCATGGTAGCCGAACTCCGTTCACGAAAATCCCAGACGGGGCGCCGCTACGTTTTTTAGTACAGTGCACAGCCTGCGTTTTCGAATGACTAATTTTGATCAGCCACCGATCCACATATTCCAATACCTCGATCACCGCACGTTGTAACCAGATTTCCAGAACACGACTGGGCCACCAGGGCAGTGTCATCAGCATAGACATAGATTTCACAGTTGCTGGGGCAAGGGACGTCATGTATAAAAAGTGAATAGTGGATTGGTACAAGAACAAAGCCCTGAGGGACACCGCCTTTGACGGACCGTGTTGTCGACAAAATGTTATTAATTTTGATACGACATTTCCTACCCTGAAGAAAGGATTTTGAGAGAAGCAAGTTGCCAGTATTTTCGTTACGGGTGAATCCCCTGGATGCTCGTTCAACAAGCCTAACCGTCTGTAACTTCGTACTATGCTCAGACCGAAAGCCAAATTGCACGTCAGGAATCACGCTGTGGTCTGACGAGAAAATTTCAAGATAACGTAGAACAGGAGACTAATGGGACGGCAATCCTGCAATGTCGAACCCACCTTCTTTGGAATTATTATAACAGCAGCGGTTTACCACACCGCTAGGAAGTATTTTATCCTGAGATGACATTGATTATTACCACGAGATAAGTTAAGGGCTTCCGCGAAAGCAGCTTCAGCGCCGTATTGGTGATTTGATTCTCTCCAGGTGCTTTATGTACCTTGAGGTCTTAAATATAATCTTGAAGCTCTGCTGGTGTGCAATGCGAGATCCCGGAGATTCCACTGTTGTGTCATGCAACTCATCAGGTGAGGAATCTTCTGAAGTAGACTCCTCCAAGGAAAAATCACTAAAGGAGGCGCTACTACCACTGACGCCGTTAGTGCCAAAATATCTCCTGACAGATCTTATAATTTGTTGCTCTTCGTCGAGGTCATTAAGGTCATAGTTGGGAGAAAACTGCCTTTCCATGGCATCACCGAAAACCTCGATTTTTTCCCCTGTCCTAAAGACTATGCCTTCAAGACTGCGGTTGTGCGGGAGTAGTTGCTCTCGCTTTCCGTTTCTGAGCGACTTGCAACTTTCCAGAAATGAATACTTGAGTCAAGCAACCCCACCAGAAAGTCGCTCCATAGCGCATTACGGAATTCATGCAGAGCATTTCTCATTTCATGAGCCATCGTCAAATATTTTAATTCATAGGCTAATTACACAGTAAGCTCAGACTGTAAATAGAAAAGTCTGCTTTCAAGTCCTCAGTCCGACTCTGTTTCAAACTCCACAAAAATAATTAGGGAAAACTGTAAAAACGTGATTATCAAAGTTACGGAGCGGCGTGGCGGAGTGGTTGTTTTGTGTGCAGGCAGGTATGCAGATGTGCGTGCTCTAT